TTGCATTCATAAATCAAGTATTTCAAGGCATGAGAAATATTATATCTCTGGGAACTCTTCCTACACTGGTAAGCCAAATACTGGTATCCTGTGTTGGTGAAACTCATCTTTCAGCTACTGAGGAGGTTCCCCACATTTCTAGGTGTGAGTTACCAACCAATCTGCCAAGCTGGGAACAATAAACAGTAGTATAGGAAAACAAGGCAGGAATGTAGGCCTGGTTCTTTGCCATAATCAGACCAGTCAGCTCTAGCTTCGGTCCCAACAGGCCAAAAACTCTTGTTGCTTGTTCAGTAAATGATGCACTACTAGAGACCAGTTGTAGTGGTTCTGCAGATGTTGCTGCACTACAATTTTTCGGTGCAATGGATTATCTTAGTGTTTCTCAAGCTTAGAAACTTTAAAATGTATGGACTTAAAGCAGTGGTGCGATTCAAGTAATTTAACAACCGGTTCTCTGCCCTAATGATTTCTTCCAACAACCAGTTTGCCAAACTACTCAGAAAGTTAACAACCGGTTCTCCCGAAGTGGTGCGAACTGGCTGAATCCCAACACTGACTTAAAGTGCTTGCTGGCTGGAAAATTCTAGGAGTTGATGTCCACACAGCTTAAAGTTACTGAGGTTGCAAAACACTGGTTCATGTTTGAATTAAATAACTGTTGGGACAAGGATCGTATTTCTGTCAACTACATTGCAGTTGCAATGCAACTGCAATTGCAGAAAATATGACTTCAGTAACAGAGTGGTCAATGCCTGGAATGCACTACCTGACTCTGTAGTTTCTTCCCCAAACCCCCCAACTTTAACTTTAAACTGTCTACTGTTGACTTCACCCCATTCCTAAGAGGTCTGTAAGGGGTGTGCATAAGCGCACCACTGTGCCTACTTCCTAGTTCCTAATCTTCCTTTTTACTTACTCTTTTCATGTATTCAAATTATATTTATACCTGATATCTTATATATGCTTGACAAAATAAATAAATAAATAAAATAAATACATGGGGCTAACCTTGAAGAGCATGTGGAGAATGACCTATGTAACACCAGGAACTGCATTGGCTGATGGTCTGCCTCTGGTTGTAGTTGAAAATGTTGGTAATCACCTTTAAAGCCCATCATGACAAAGGAGGCATGCTACGGGCCTCATCAGTCCCGAATATTCCGGCTGACAGGTTCCAGGAGAAGAGCTTTCTCTGCCATTGCAACCGACCTCTGGAACAACTCCCCACCACCACTCCAACCCTCCTGACCTTCCATAAGAGCCTAAAGACCTTGCTGGGCTAGTTGGCTTGGGACTCGAATGGGGGAGCATCACAGCGGAGTTGGTTGTTTGATTAAAAACAGATCCCACCTACCCCCACATCCTGTTTTCACCCTCCGCATCTTTTAATTGGGCAGCTGTATTTGGCTGTGTGTTGTATCCTATTTATGTTTTTATCTTTGTACAGTTTGTACAGTTTTACATTTTATGGTTGTAAGCTGACCAGAGATACTCTGAGGTAAGATGGACAGCCAATAAAAATGAAGCACTGGAAAAGACAACTGGAGAGCAGTTGGAGGGCCAGCCTTTCTGAATCCGACTGAACACTGGTAAGATCTCATATTAAGACTTACCTAGTGGCGATAAAAGCGGCAAAATGTAACTATTTTGCCACTCTTATTGCATCATCAGATAATCGCCCAGCCGCCTTGTTTAGAGTGACCCACTCCCTGTTCCACCAGGAAGCGCGGGAGGACCCCTTGGAGGGCAGGGCCGAGGACTTTGTGCAGTATCTGTATGACAAAATCGCCCAGATTCGGGAAGACTTGGACTCTGACTGGGTAGATTCAGGAGGAATGATGGAGGCAGGTCTTGAGAATGTTATCTGGGAAGAGTGTGATCCTGTGACTCCTGAAGACGTGGACAGGATTCTGGGTAGACTAAGTGCAGCCATATGTTTATTGGACCCGTGTCCCTCCTGGTTGGTGCTGGCCTTTCGGGAGATGACACGAGGCTGGCTCCAGGGGATTATAAATGCTTCATTGAGTGAGGGTGACTTTCCCGCCGCCTTGAAAGAGGCGGTGGTGAGGCCTCTCCTCAAGAAGCCTTCCCTGGACCCAGCAGTGTTAGCAAATTATCATCCAGTCTCCAACCTTCACTTTGTGGTGAAGGTTGTTGAGAGCGTGGTTGTGCGACAGCTTCCCCAGTACCTGGATGAAATGGTTTATCTGGATCCATTCCAGTCGAGCTTCAGGCCTGGGTACAGCACGGAAACGGCATTGGTCTCACTGGTTGATGATCTCTGGAGGGCTCGGGACATGGGTTGTTCCTCTGTGCTGGTCCTATTAGATCTCTCAATGGCTCCTCTTGAAGAGCGCTCAGAGGCTCCAACTGGTCCAGAATGCGGCTGCGTGGGTGGTTATCGGGGCGACTCGGTGCACCCACATAACACCCCTCCTGCGCGAGCTGCACTGGCTCCCGGTGGTCTTCTGAGTGCGATTCAAGGTGTTGGTCATTACCTTTAAAGCGCTCCATGGCTTAGGACCAGGGTATATACGAGACCGCCTGCTGCCAGCAACAGCCTCCCACCAGCCAATACGCTCCCACAGAGAGGGGCTCCTCAGGGTGCCGTTGGCCAGACAATGCCGACTGGCGAAACCCAGGGTGAAAGCCTTCTCTGTGGGGGCACCAGCCTTATGGAATGAGCTGCCCCTTGAGATTCATCTCATCCTCAACCTGCATACCTTTCGCCGCGCTTTGAAGACCCTCTTGTTCCAACAAGCCGGCCTGGCCTAATACAAATTTTAGAATGGGTGTGTGTGTGTTTTAATCTATGGGCCAATTTTTTATATATTTAATTTTAAATTGTTTTAAATTTTGTATATTTATATGTGTTTTAATATGGCTGTACACCGCCCTGAGTCCTTCGGGAGAAGGGCGGTATAGAAATCTAATAAATCAAAATCAAAATCAAATCAAATCAAAACAAAACAAAACAAACAAACAAAGTGAGGCGAGTCCAGTACTACTGAGGGCTTCACTACGAAAACAAAATTTATGCTGCTAAGAAGTAGTATCTGAGGTTTGCCACCTCCATATTCAAAATCTTAACACCAGCATCATGTCTCTTTCAATAATTATGATCTGAGAGCAGATGGAACTGTTTTTTTTTCTTTTATAGGAAATGAATCACTGATTATATATATATATATAAAAACTCCTAGTCCACTTCTCCCATCATGCCTTGGAGTGTTATTTGTGAGTCAACATGCCATTAATGGTCTTGTACAAAATGGATCACTGGCATTTGGTATTGTATAATTAAAATCAGATGAAACACAATCACTATCAGCAGGCAACTGATCCAGTCCCCAAAATTTGCCTTATTTCAAAATTAGTATGAACCAGAGTGTTTTATGCCTGTCTATTTCTTTTGTATTTTTGTTGTAATAGAAGAGTGCAAAAAATGTGCCAAATGGAACTCGACCCCCAGCATCCCATTTCTTAAATTGGAGGCTTAAAGGAGTTTAATGAACACAATTATGATTTACAAACAGCTAAAAATAGTTTGGTAGCACCCTTTCTGACATATGTTTTATTAAATGGCACAAGCTTTGGTGAGATTGGGCCTTTTAATAACATTTGCTAATTGGGAAAGGTCTACCAGATATTAGTACATGGTTCAGGCTGGGACAATTCACCAGCTTGCTTAATTAGTTATTTCAGCTGCTAGATATATTTATTTTTATTGTTTTTATTGATATTAAATGTTTCCTTGTTCTAGAACTGTAAGCTGCCAGAATCACTTGGTTGAGATGGGCTGCCATGGAAAAAATATAAAAAAATATAAATAAATAAATAAGTAATAAGTAAGTTAGTTAGTAAGTAAGTAAGTAAATAAATAAATAAATAAGTACATAAGTAAATAAATAAATAAAGTTGATGATTATAAGAGCACCTATGCTTCTTAAACCTATGTTGCCTGTTCAGTTATACTATTAATTATGCACCATGGATTACAATCCTAATTTATACACTATAACCTTAGCCTTTCTGTTTCAAGCTAGATCTGGAGTTGAGTCAAGAGGGACATCTTGAGTAATTCAATTTATTTCTCTGATTCCAGGAATTTGATTATTCAGGTTCCCTATAAAAGCAAAAATTCATTATATATTAAAATGCATTATTGTAATTGTGTGATCTTATAATTCTTATAAATGTATAAATGTTAATAAGTATATTTTTGAGAAGCTGGGTTAGTACTTTATTTCAGTAATGATCCTCCAGGACATGTTATGGGCTGCTATAGGCTTTTAATCATAAGTGTCATGTACCTCACATTACAGAAGAAGGAGAAATCCACATCTGCTAAGAACATAATTTGTTGAGAAGTCATGATTCAGATAATGAATCTAAATCTAATTATTCTAGAAATGATGAAGCAAATTTCCCTGTATATGCCTTATGTATTCATTATGGGTTCATTTTCTTTTTGGCAGGTCTTCAAAATTGAAGGCAAGGATGTGAAAGCTGAATTTTGATCTGAACTTGCCCTCTGGGATGTTTACGAAGACCTCCCCAAATAGGTCTTTGAGTGTCAGTGTAAATAAATTTTGCTGACCCGCTGAAGCTAAAAGTCAGGGAAGGAAATGAGGGCCTGATTTCACCTCTTGCATTATCAGATCCTTGTGAGGAACCAGGCTCTGGCCTCCAGTATGAAAAACAGCCAAATAGTTTTGGTGTCAGTTATCCAGGAGAAAGCCCTGTGACTTTTGTGGCCATTTGATGTATTTCCATATGGCAAAGAAAGAACTGGAATAATTAATTCTCATTTTATGTGGGTATCCTGATACTCCCTGGGATTTTAAAGAAAACCCTCGATTTACCATCTCGATTTATCATGATTGTCTCAGCTGATTTACATCCATTGTTCAGTCTCTTTCTAATGCTGCCTTATTTAGGCTAAATATTTGATCAACAGGTTCCTTCAATTTTCCAAACTCTGGGAAGAATCCTACCTTTGCTAGGAAGATGATGGAGAAAAAAGGATGAGCATGTTCTTGCTGGTGAAATCCACTATAGACTGTGGTCTGTCCATCAGAGGCCCCTTGGCAAATGTTCTGCTGCTAATATTCCCCTGAAGAAGTAAAAACAGTACAAGTCAGGAACCAAAGCTCCTTGTTCTTCTCACATACCCACAAAATTATTATGATAATTTGGAAGTTATTTCTCTATGATACTCATCAATAAGAAAAAAATAAAAACAAACTTTCTGTATCCCTTGGGATGTCATATTTCCAGAAAAGTGTACATCAATGAATGTGACAACTCTTTTGCCAGCAAATCTCTGTGGGGACTCTGCTACTTACACTTTGCATGAGATCTTGCTATCACACCCCAAAAGATTGATGACCTCTGAGTCAGGGGTGGGTTCTAAATTTTTTACTACCAGTTCTGTGGGCATGGCTTATTTTGTGGGCATGACTTGATGGACATGTGACAATTATTTAGGATTTAGCAGAGATACTGGTCTACCAGGCTTTTAACTGCTTTCAGAGCTGTACCGATCTACCCATTTATTTTTGCAGACACTGATCTACTCATGTATTTTGGCAGGCACTGGTCTACTCATGTATTTTTGCAGGCACTGATCTACTCATGTATTTTGGTAGGCACCGGTCTACTCATTTGTTTTCTTTTAACACTGATCAGCTGTAGGGCGGCCCTTTTGAAGCCCTGCGGCAAGAGTTTAAACAGTTTTTTTTCCTCTAGCCATCAGGTGGGACTCAGGAGGCAGCAATAGATTGGGGGTGGGGCCAAATAAAAGGTAAGAATAATGCGGGGGGGCAGGGTGGGGGGCGGGGGGCAAAATCGGTTCGGTGATGTCATATCGTCACCGCTACCGGCTTGGGGGAACCGGGCCGAACCGGGAGGAACCCACCACTGCTCTGAGTTACACTCCGTCAGACTTTAGTGTCCTATGCATTTTTTTATCAGTTCCTAAATTTTGAGGCATTATAATAGTTAGAGATAGTAAAATATTATTTTCATATATTTCTAATTGGTTCTCTTAATCATCTTCAGCTTTGTTGGGTGGAGAAAATGCAAAGTTAGCATGTTATACATTATAAAATCATAATGAAGCCAAATTCTTATATCAGTCAAGAGATATTTGTTTTTATCTCAAACAAGCAATAAGTGGAATCACATCTTGTTGCAAGAATAGTTCTAGTCACATATTGTAACTTCCTTCCTCTCTTCTATGCTTTTCAGATTTGCTCTGAAAAGTTCCTAACTCTTCAAAGCGAATTTGTAATCAAGTTAGTGGACAGAAGAGAAAACAACTGTCTCTTCCGCTGATGAAAGCCATTCCATCAGCAGAAGTAGCTTAAGTGTTTCTGGAACAGTTATAACAATTCTCAACAACTCTAAAATTCTCAAAAAAAAAATTGTTACTTATAAATACTCAGCTCACTCAAGGATAGGCACTCTTGTACTCAGTGATGGGCATTGAGACATTTGAAAAGCATCAGCTGCCTACCATTGAGCTGTCTAATACTTGTTCCCGCATCACACAATAGTTTCACCTCCTAACAGGGATGACGACAACCAAAAACAGATGGATTTTATAATAAACTTTCATGAGCTGCAATTCATCAGAGATAGGATAAGAGATTTTAGGAGAAGAAAAAGATTGCATTTTAAGCTCGCTTGGAGGTGGGAAATACTTCCAGTCTAATCTACCAAATCCCCTGCATGGATTCCCCCTGCGACTATGTAGGATAGGACAGATGGGAAGGAAGCTAACCACAAGAGTGTTCTTGCAACACTCGCTTGTGTTGCAAGAACACAAGCGAGTGGTCAGATGAGGAGACCTGAACTCATTGGTAACCTCACACTGCAATGAACAAGGACACACATTCAATTTTGCAGCTGCTAAGATTGTTGGACGAGCTGGCACAAAAACAGCCAGGGAAGTGATTGAAGCCTAGGAAGCAGGCTCCTCGTCATCAAATATTATCAAGTACCGGTATTTAGAAGGTGAGGGCTGAGCAGCACAAGGAAACAACAGCCAATGACTTAAAAGCCAGCCACAAACACACCCCGACCAACATCTAAAAAGCCACATACAACAGGCACTCTATCACACACAGAACAGCCTACACTCTGCTAGAGAGAAGTTCCGTGAAGATGGGCTCCAGCATGAGTCCGAAAGCTCGGAAGACAAAACCTCTGATCCCACCCAAAGGGACCGACCCAGATTAGATCCTGCAAGAAAAAGATTCCTTTTTTCCCCCTAATGAATTCCTGTTTTAGGGAATTTACTTCTTAACAAAATCTGGAAATCCTGATCATGAAAAGCCCACAAAGAAGATATTAGGAGAAGAGGGGGATGTAAAACTAAGGATTTGCTCAAAGCAACTTTGTCTCTTTGACAAGAGTAAAAAATAAAGAATAACATGGGCAAGGCTGGTATTTTTCTCCAAGCATGGTGTCAGCATGTGCTGAACTCCAATTCATAGAATTCCTGGTTCTGGTTGTTCCATCAAGCACAGCAGGAAAACATGCTGGGATTGAAGAATTAAGTTTGGCAGATGCGTATTTTTCTTCTTCTTGCATAATGTTGCATAATATTCTATTTGATTTATTTTATGTACAGGCTCATATTTTATTTTTGAAGGACATGTTTTCCTCTTTTTTATTTTTCCCCCTAGTTGCTCAGAGCCTTTGAACCATTATCCTTGCCACTAGAAATTCAGGGTGAATTTAAGTAAATTACATCCATACTTCTATTACATTGCAATTGACTGTCACAATGTATTCCATGTGGGTCTTTATTACAAAACTCAAAGCTTCAATCAGTGCTAAATGCAGACTGCTAACTGATGCATAATACCAGAATCATCTTATGAGCATGTTGATCTATGGTACATCTATAACTACAGAATTTCTTTCTGGGCACAATTTAAGATACTGTAGATAATCTCTAAAGTTAAGCATATCTTATGCCTGAGGAACTGCCACTCCTAGTAAAATTCCAGTATGAATTTACTGGATGTGAAGCTCAGCAAGAGTGATTTGGTCCCTGTCCTTGCTTTTAAAGAGATACATTACTTCAGTCAGGTATTTAAATGTCAATAATGTTCATATAAATATAAATAAATATCCAAGTATATTAATTTTACTTATTTATGGAATAAATTTATATGCCATTTCATTCAAACTTATCTTATTAGTATATTGATTTTGTAAACAAAAAACAAAGGCAAATATAAATTGAAAAAAAGAAAGACATATAGGCACATCTAGAGATAGGCTGCTATTAAACCTGTTTGAAGAAACTTCAACCTTTCTTTTGGGACAAAGTCTCCAATATTTCTTTTTCCTAATCAATTCAGGAAAGCATACCAGTTTTTAGAGAGGTATTATTAGTGTTTCCATAAAACAAGAGTTATTATTCGAAGCTGCACCTTCATTTCAGTTCTGAGCAGCTAATGGAGATTGGAAGACTTTTCAGACTTAATTTGCCTGTGTATCAGTGGTGGGATTCTACCAGTTCTACCCAGTTTGGGTGAACCGGTAGCGGCAGTGATGGGAGGCTCCACCCACCTGCCCAGATGTCATCACAGACACTCTAAGCATGAGCAGAGGTGGCGCACGTGCTTCCATTTACGAACCGGTAACGAAGGTAAGTGAATACTACTACTGCTGTGTATCCAGTGGTGGGATTCAAGTAATTTAACAACCGGTTCTCTGCCCTAATGATTTCTTCCAACAACCAGTTTGCCAAATTGCTCAGAACGTTAACAACCGGTTCTCCCAAAGCAGTGCGAACTGGCTGAATCCCACCACTGTGTGTATCCTTGCACCTCAAAGTGCAGCCAGTTGTGCCTTTGCCCAAAACATTTTAGAATGCTGGCCTCCTGGGCCACTGCCTAGGACTACATTGCATATCCATTTCCAACTGTCAGTTGCAAAAGACCATGCATTAAGTTGAAGTTCAAACATTTACTGCTCAAACCTATACATAAGAATCTAGTCAACTAAAGGTACTAAATTTGTGCCAGATAAGGGTCAATGGAATTTAAGAAGGGTTGGACTTGGACCATTTGTGTCAACAACTCTAAACTGATTATGTGCTTAACTCCACCCCCTCCCCCTCCCCACCTCTGCTTGCTCTTCTCCAACATCAACAATCTATATAAAGAAAGAGGAAAAGACTGTTACGGATGCTGCATCTGGAAAAAAAAAGTAGACTGAGAAGGAATGTTATGGAGGAAAGTGACAGCCAACATAAATGGTCTGGACCAAGAATGAGGGTAGGGAGACAAAGGTGAAATAGCCCTGCCAGTTGGCGAGGGAGGTTAAAACTAGCTTATCACCTAATAAAAGGTGGCCTAGTTTTTGTGCTTACTTCCAATTACATGCATTATTTGGTGGGTGTCTTGCTAGCAAACAAGAAACAGATGAGTCAAATAACTAGAATTTGCATTTACATCTATATTTCTGAGAAGAGTTTCAGTAGAGGAAGCACTATGTCAGAGTACAATAATAAATGTGTGATTAAAACTGCATTCCAAAAATTTCTGCAAGTCATATGTATGTGATCAGGAACTCCCACTTAAAAAGAAAAGAAAAAAGAAATAAAGTTGGTCAGCTTCAGAAAAAGGCGTCAACTGGATCGTTTGCATCTCATTCCATTCTTCCTTATTAAAATTGGGTCATTGGCCAATTTGGCCTGTATTATAATCAACCAAGTAACCATATAGTGCTTGAATGTGGGGAAAATGGCAGTTTGACAAGAATAGGAAAGGTGCAGAGATTAATCAGGAAAAAGGCACATGTGGCCTTATGAAATGAAGGAAACGCAGCGTTTTAATGTGCAATGCAAAGATCACATTGGATGGCATTTAATTGTAATAACTACCAAGACCATCTTTCTGAATTTCAAACTTTATTTAAATATTCCAAGGGTGAATAACTCACTTTTTGCCTACAGATGGCCTACAATCTCCTGGGCCAGTTTATGGGTGCCCAGAGCAGTGGTGGGTTTTAAAATTTTTTACTACTGGTTCTGTGGGTGTGGCTTGGTGGGCATGTCAGAGGAAGGATACTGTAAACTCTTCATTCCCACCCCACTCCAGAGGAAGGTTACTGCAAAATCCCCATTTCCTCCCGATCAGCTGGGACTTGGGAGGCAGACAATAGATGGGGGCGGGGCAAGTCAGAATTTTTACTACCGGTTCTCTCAACTACTCAAAATTTCTGCTACCGATTCTCCAGGACTGGTCAGAACCTGCTGAAATCCACCTCTGGCCCAGAGCCCCCACTCCGGGTTTTCTCTTTTCTTAAAAAAATAGGTTACTCATGCATCGATTTTACTCTAAATCTCCTACCACTGTCTCCCTCCCCCAACACAAATAAACCAAGCAGAGTATTTAAACACCGTCATGTGACAACATGACGTGACTGCTGCTCTCTCCTTCAGTCTTCTTAGTCTGAAAACCTCTGCCTCATTCAAAGAACCCAATTCAAAACTGCATCCATTCACTGATCATGTCAGTTAGGATCAGGAATATTACACCAATCTTGCAAATAGGGGGAGGGGTGGTATTAGCATGATAGTCTGCTTCCCTAATACCTTCCATTTGCATATACGAAATGGCATGTCATACAAGTTCATCTGAGGTCTTGCAGGTCAGTTTCTGGGCTATTACAGTACAGAGCTGTCATATAATTCCCTGTAAGGATGCCCAGGATTGCATCTTCATGTGCTGTATGAATTAACAGCTTATTAAAACTAAGGGCTGTTGTTTCCACTGTGGTGTCCTGAAAGCAAAAGTACTTGGATGAGGGCAGAAACATGTGGTAATTCTGAGCATGTTTTGAAGGTTTATTTGTGCGTCATTTATTACTCAAAATGATTTCTAGCAAATGTTAAGAATACAATTTTTTTAATACTAACATTGTTCTACTAATAATGAAAGGATGATGGCGGGATTTTCCCTTCCTTTTTTTTTTTCTTCCTTCTTCTTGGCAAGGTAGAAAGTTACAACTAACATTATCCAGTGCTAAATAGTTGGAAGAAACAGTGCCTCCAATTCAGTCGTGCAATAAATTTGAACTCAGATTATGTGCCCCAAAAGTATCTCAGTACACTCTCTGCACTGAAAGAATTTTCAGAATAGAGAAGGGACTACATATATACATATAATAAATTTGGAATTTTATTTATTTTTTAAAGATATTCCCAATTTGGGAGCACCCACTAAGTCCTTACGGATCTCTTCTTTAGTCAAGGGAAACTAACAGCTGAGTTTCTTTCTTATAAAAACCCATCCTACTTCACTGAGCTTCACTTTTCTAGCTTAGCCAATAGGAAACCACAATAGCCAATAGATTAAGAACATTATGTAAGTAGAATTATTTTCATCTGTGTCTCTCGGCAACCACTTGTGACCTATAACTAGACGTGCTTTCCAAATGGTTTCTCATCTAGATATAGGAATGGGGAGGAGGGAATTAACTTACGCAGTAAATACCATTCTTGGTAATACTTTGCAGCTTATTTTGTTCAGCTACATCAGACTTTTCATTCTTCAGTCCAAATACAAAGTGAAATACAATGGCACTCTCATGTAGGTTTCTCAGGCATGCCTTAGCTTATTCTTTGCAACAACCGACACTCTGCAATACTGGTTTGTTTTCATGTTCAGTTCTAGTGGAAGGGTGAAGAAAATATTTTTTGCAACTTTTACTTCACTGCCTTTTCTTTTTCTGCAGAGAAAGGGAAGCAAAAAAGAATCCTATCAGTCCCTTCCTCGGCATGTGACTTTCTACATCAGTGTTTCTCAGACCTGGCATTTCCAAGATGTGTGGACTCCATACTGGCTGGGAAATTCTGTGGGTTGAACAAGTCCACGCATCTTAAACTTATCAAGTTTGAAAGACACTGTTTCTACAACAATTGGGACTGCAAAGTACCGTATTTTTTGGAGTATAAGATGCACTGGAGTATAAGATGCACCTTAGTTTTTGAGGAGAAAAATAAGAAAAAAGCTGATTGGCAGGTGGATCGGCCTCCGGGAATACCCCCAATCAGCTGTTCCCAGAGGTGAATTTTAGTAACAGTTTCTTTGGTTGTGAGCTCTGCACCTTGGGGTTTTTTTTTTTGCTTTTTTTTTCTGCCTCTGAAACTTCTGAAACTCTGTTTCAGAAAAAACTTTTTTTCCTGCCTCTGAAAGCCTCCGAAACAGAGCTTCAGAAAAAAAAGCCTCTGAAGCTCTGTTTGGGGGCTTCTTTTCTGAAGCTTCGTTTCTGATGCTTTTTTCAGCCTCTCAAACTCCGTTTGAGAAGCTGGGCAGGGCTACATTTGGAGTATAAGACACACCCAGATTTTCACCCTCTTTTTTGGGGAAAAAAGGTGCGTCTTATACTCCAAAAAATACGGTACTCCAGGTGGTTTATGGAGGAAATCCACCAAGCTTTGTGGAGTTTCAACAAGGCATCCTTCTTGAAGTACTCTTTCTGTGGAAGCTTTTGCTGCAAAGCAATGTTTCCTATTTCCCCACCTCAAATATTCTTTCTGTATTTTTCATGAGGAATACTTGTGTGGTTGCCATATTTGTCCTCTCCGTTTTGAAGATAAACTGCAATGAAATCACACTGATTTTTGGATCTATCCAGTTAGGTTCTGTCTTCATCCTGCAGAAATGAAAGAATGCATTGAAAGCTCCACAACATACCTCCATGATGTTGTTTAAGGCAGTGGTCACCAACTGGTGTTCTGTGGACCACCGGTGGTCCGTGAGAAAATTTTGGTGGTCCGCCGAAAAATTATTTGCATTTTTTATATTGCACTAAATCAGGGGTCCTCAAACTACGGCTCCTGGGCTGGATACATGCAATGAATATATGTGTTACTGCAGAGAGTCTCCCCCTTTGGGGTCTTTTTGTGCAGGTTGGAGGGGGGCAGAAATTCTGACTGGGTCTGTTCAGCCTCCTGGTGCAGGGCTTTAGGCAAAGGCTGGAGGGAAATGCCGCTGGTGGAAAAGAGCCAGAGGACCTTGTTCCAGTGGGACTGTATCATGGCCTGGAACTGGCTGACCATCTCAGCCCACTGAGACTCCAGGCACTGGTACCTGGCCTTGCACTCCTGCAGGTCTTCCCTCTGCTTGGAAAGCCTATGCTCCTAGTCCTCAGTGAGGTGCTTCTGCTGAGCCTCCTTTTCAGTCAGATCCAATTTGAACTGAGACAGCTGTTTTGCCAACTCTTTCTCGTGGTGGCTGCTTAGCTCCAACAATAGCTTCCTGTTGGGGCCCTAAGTAGCCTGGGTGGGGAGGCGAGGAGTGACTGGGAGGGAGGAGCGAGTAGAGTCCAGTGAAGTACCCCTTGATGTGAGTGACATTGAGTTGACCATGCCCACTCAGTCACATGACCATCTAGCCACGCCCACCGACCCAGTCATTAGGCAGATCATATTAGTGGTCTGTGGGATTTAAAATGATGAATTTAGTGGTCTCTGAGGTCCAAAAGGTTGATGACCCCTGGTTTAAGGTATCTCACTGATTAGCACCAGACTGATAACTGGTTTTCTTAGTTCGATTCCTGCTTATTCCTGCTGGCTTTGCCAATCAAAATGCTTAGAAAAAATGTTCCAGTTCCAGGATGGATTAGTACAACATACAAATGCATACAAAACACACGCACACACTCAAAACATGGTGACATACACCTGAATTCCAATTATTTCAGTAATCTGTGTCTCAGATTGTTCAATTATCTGCACAATTTGGTTTTAGATTAGCCAGTGAAAACTGAACCAGAGAGAAGATGGATAAGATAAGTACAGTTGCCTGGGATCAGATCAGAACTTCTTTCTCACCCCATCATCAGGACCAGCAACCATTACTGAAGGTCCAAAATGGGCAACATTGCCCTCTATCGATCTCCACTTGCTCCAAAAGCAACCCTCCACCCACAGGAGGACTGTAGCCCTCAGTCTAGGCTGAATATCTTGCAAACTGTTGCTAAAATACCTCAGTCCAGATAGGATTTTCCTATCAGTTTAAAGTCAAGCTGGAATGAGCATAAAACGGGAGCAGCTTAAACAGTAAATATGGATATGCCTTGGATTTGCTCCATGTAGAATGAGTTTAGCTTAGATGAGGAGTCACATATCTATTCAGATGTGCATTTTAATCCCGAGATAAATGACTGAATGTCATGAAGTCCAGGGTTCAGTTACGGTGATGCTTTGGCCAGAACTATTGATCTGCAGTCAGAGATTAACCTTGAAGAAATATGAGACTAATTCGTTGATGTAATGAAGAGATAATCCACTTTTCTGAATCTTCATTAAGAGAAGATGGAGCTCATGGACAACTTGTTTCGATTGTGGCATAAGGGCATCCTAGAGAACAAATAGTAGCCACTGTTTCTTGGATAATTTCCAGTATAGGTAATTATCAAGTGCAATGCCCTAGTTACACTTCCCTGTAGTTTCAGTTAATCAAGTTGCTGTCATACTCTGTGGGGCACTTGCACTGTGCTTATTAAATAGCTACAGCTTCTCCCTGCTTTGGGAACTCTGCCTTTTCTTGGTGTGGCTGAATATGCACATATTCTCAGCCCTTTGAGGTAGGCCAGAATGGGAAACAGATACCACACAGACTACTGGAATGCTTCTTGATTGTTGTAGGTATCATGAAAGAATCTTGACAGCCTGCCAGAGTTTCCCTTTGTTCCCTCTTATGCCCTAGAGCAGGGGTCAGCAACCTGCGGCTCCAGAGCCGCATGCGGCTCTTTGGGCCCTCTGCTGTGTCTCCCTGTCAGGTGATCCCATCACTGGCTGGTCCCACCCCTCACCCTCCCCTCCCAATCACTCCTTGCCTGGCCTGAGAAAGTAAAGGCGACGGTGGGGGATGGAGAAGAGGCCAGGGCAGAGATAGAGAGATATAGAGAGAGGGGGAGAGAGAGAGACATAGAGAGATGCAGAAAGAGAGGGGGAGGGGGAGGGAAGGAGGGGAGAGAGAGATATGTCAAAAGGATTTTGTGGTTCCCGGTGTTTTTTAACAACTGGTTCTCTGCCCTAATGACCAGCTGGGTAGGTGTGGCTAGGGAGTCATGTGACTGGTAGAAGTGAGTGACATCGAGTTGGCCACGCTCACCCAGGTTTTGTGGCTCCCGGTGTTTTCTTTTCTGTGGGAAATGGGTCTAAATGGCTCTTTGAGTATTTAAGGTTGCAGATCCCTGCCCTAGAGAATCAGGGTTATTTGAAGTCTCATCCGCACACTCCACCTTGTAGCTGTGCGTTGGTGTCTCTTTTTATCTGCTGAAGGTTGTTGCATTATTTTTTGCTAATGTTACATCTGCCTTCACTACGCCTACGCTTAAGTGGTTGACAGAATCCCCAAGAGTAAATCAATATCATTTCCACCAACTTAACAGACCAATGTCAATTTATCTCAACCAGGGAGCCAGATTAAGCCCCTGGAACTGAATTATTTCCTCTATTAATGTTGCTATAAATGGCAGCTAATGATATAAAATATTACGGTTATTCATTTGGACTTTTCAGGTCAGATTTCCAAACAGTGAGTTGCCTCATGCTGATTTTTTAATGCAGCCACAGAACACAATTTCCTTTTCACTGTAACACGTGCCCATCCACAGGAAACTCACAACAGGCATGCGACCTTCTTTGTCAGTTTTAAAGGAAAAAAAAAATAGGCGTTACTTTTTTAAAAACCTTGCAGAGACAAGAATCTCTTTGGTTTCCTTTTATGAGTTGAAGAGGTCTAAGAATTGAATATTGGTCTCATTCATATATATGGCAGCACCTGGAGAGGGAGAGGGAGAGGGGGAGAGAGGGAGAGGGAGAGGGAGAGAGACTGCTCGCCTGATGCTGGCAGAATTAGCTCTTCTTTTAGACAGGGTGAAGTTGGTGTTTGGGCTATAGGGGAGCAGAAGATTTTGTTCTTTCCTAGTTCTAAAGATTCAAACGAGAATGTTTGAATTCTCGACATGAATGAAGCACCTTGTCTTTTGCCTCAGAAAATCGCTAGTTTTAGCTCTCTTGATGCCAACCTAGGATTCTTACAATATGCCTAACATGGTGCTAGACAACAAGGAAAGCCACCAGAGGATATTATACAGAATGTTGCCCCTGTTGACATTTCTCTGGGTCAACTTGGGAAATAAATAGGATTGAAATACATGTGCTACTCAGGCTGAAGAGGTTAGTTGTTGTGTTTTTTTTTTTAATATTTCCCCCTCCTCGCTGTTTTGTGGGGGATAGATGCTACCATGAAATGAGAGAGAGAGAGAGGGAGGGAGAGGCAGAGAGGGAGGGAGGGAGAGAGAGAGAGGGAGAGACAGGGAGGGAGGGAGGGAGGGACAGAGAGGGAGGGAGGGAGAGACAGAGAGGGAAGGAGGAAGAGACAGAGAGGGAGGGAGGGAGAGACAGAGAGAAAGACAGCTCTTTGAGGGCCTTTCTGAAGGACAAAGAACTCAGAAAACTCCTAAGTATATACAGTATAATAGGATATAGAAATGTCCAACAAAAATTGGCGCTACATTTTTTTTTAAAAATATTTTTAACCTTTTTTTAAAACCTATTTTACCAAATGAACTTTTGTTTTCCACTTTGCATGTTCAACAGGCATTGTGAACATGGCCATGTTGGGATTCATCCTTTCTTATTTTAGCACCTGAAAATGTAATGTTTTGATTATTGCTTGGCCAAAATATCCAGGACTGCTGTTGTCAGAGA